ACGACGCAGCCGGCCCTCGATGCAGGGAGTGCACGGCGGCGCCGGCGAGGGAGGGAGGGCAGGGAGCGACGCAGGGAGACCTAGGACGAGACCGTGCTGAGACATGTGACGCAGACGTGGGAGTGCGGGGTGACCTAGGAGGTGGTGCCACAGAAGCGACGGGTGAGTGAGCGACCAACACGAGCCAGCTGCAGCAACCTGGGTAGACGCAGGACACAGGGAGGACGCGCCCACCAGGGGGAGAAGCAGTGTCCAGCATAAACAGGCCAGACACCGGGTCCCGGGGGACACCTGAGGCGGCCTGGATAGAGACAGCGTACCACTCATGACCAGGGAATGTAGTGGTGACGCCGAGGTCTTGAAGACAGCCGACACCAACTACAGTGACGGAAAAAAATGACCGGATGTTATGCATTAATTTGTATTTTTTTGCTATTGGACCACTGTACATAAAGTCTTAATGTTTAATGGTGATACGCTTTGGGAGGGGCATATCGTGGATGTGTTCACAGCACCAAAATCCATAATTGTACACTTGATTTAACCTAGTGCCAAAAGATATACAAAGAGTACATCCGGACAATTGTTTCCTAGGACAAATAGCAAACTTCCGAAGTACCTAGTCCACCGACCCTTGGCCTTGATCACCACCCGCACCCTCCTAGGCATGCTATCTACAAGGTTAGTGCAAAACTTTGCACGGATCTTCTCGCACTCTTCCTGGACCGACCCTTTTGGATATGGGAGTGAGTACTAGGAAAATCACGAAAGATTTTAGCGTATGCAAGAGTTTTGTGCACAGTTCAAAATTGAATGTTATCTCCGAGACTAGCCACGCTGAGGTGTGGCCAAAGATGCCATTAGCCGCTTGGTCATGTCTTATCATGGATCGTCTTCGTCGTACCATTGTAGGGTAAAATTACGAACAGAGTGGCGAGAACTAGCGTATCCGCCGCGAAACTTAGGGTAATATAGCACAGGCGATTGTGTGCGCTTTCACTATAAGAATCACGTTAAAATCCACGGGTCTCATCACAGTGCAGCAGTCGAAGAAGCCTCGACTAGTGGGGATGAATATTCGGGTTGAGGCCTGGTTTGGAAGAGGGTCACTCCAGTGCTACATACTCATGCTCTCCAAGCCATTCCAAGCCTAGGTAGGACAAATGGTTTAGAATGGCTTGGAGAGCATGAGTATGTTGCACTAGAGTAGCCCTTTTCCTCACCACACCTCAACCCGAGATTTCTTCCCAAACAATCGCGACTTCTTCGATTGCGGAACCGTGATGAGGCCTGCGGATCCTAGCGTGATTCTAATAGTGCAAGGTTGCACAATCGACCGTATACGTTACCCTCAGTTTTGCGGCGTATACGCTAGTTTTCGCAGCTCTTTTTGTGGTTTTACCTTACAGCGGTACGACAGAGACGACCCATGAAAAGACGGGACCAAGCGGCTAATGGCATCTTTGGTCACACCTCAGCGTGGCTAGTCTAAGAGGTAACATTCAATAAGAAATCATGCACAATACTCTTGCATACGCACAAATCCTTCATGATTTTCCTCGAATTCACCCCCTTATGCAAAAGGGCGGGTCCAGGAAGAGTGCGAGAAGATCCATGCAAAGGTTTGCACTAACCTCATAGATAACATATCTAGGAGGGTGCGGGTGGTGATCAAGGCCGAGGGTCGTTGGACTAGGTACTAGAGAGGCTGTTAGGAAGTTTGCTATTTGTCCCAGGAAACAATTGTCCGGATGTACTCTTTGTATATCTTTTGGCACTAGGCTAGATCAAGTGTACTAATATGGATTTTAGTGCTGTGAACACATCCACTATGTGCCCCTCCCAAAGCGTATCACCATTAAACATTAAGACTTTATGCACAATGATCGGAAAGCCCAAAAACCATAATTAATGCAAAACATCTGGAAAAATGTAACACACAGCAGACTGTACGACACACAGGTAACACACCTAAACTAGGCAACACAGGGTAATAAGATCCGGGCACACTAGAAGCATCAGCATACAGAGAATGGAGGGCAGAACAGATATGATCCATGTCTAACTCAAAGACAGGCACACCATGGCGCAGCAGACTGGCCCAGTCAAGGAGGTCCAGCGCCGCGACGAAGCGACGACGAAAGAGATCGTCAAGGCGGCGGAAGCAGCGGGCGGTCGGGTGCGGGCGACGACACACAGTGCCAAGGAGGGAGCCGGTTTGGAGCTGGTACTGGCAGCTCCCAGCACCGAAGCTGCCGGCCGACGCCGAGCTGCGAGGGCCGCCAACGTGGCCACCACCACTAGAGGCATACGGCCACCCCTCCGGGAGGCGGGCCCATGACTGCTGCTGATGCTGCTGCTCCTTCTGCTGCTGCTGCGGCTTCTGCTATTGCATCGGCTGCTGCTGCTCCGGCTCCTGGGAACCGGCCCCGGTCCCCTCGTCGGACCCACTGTCCCCGCCGCCACCGCCACCACCTCCACCACCCCCACCACCCCTGCCACCATGCCCCCCTTTGGGGCCTCGACGGCCCCGACGCTAGCGCGGCTGCGTGGAGGCTGCAGCTGCAGTCTCAGGAGCAAGGGCTGTCGCAGTGACAGTGGCAGAAACGTCAGCGTACGTGCACTAGGAGGGCGCACAGCCGCGAAAGATAGGGACTGCCGCAGTACCGCTCGACTGAGCGATAGTGCAATGGCGAGTCTCTATCTCAGACAGGGCGGTGACAAAGGCGGTAAGGGTGAGGTCACCTAGGTGCTGACCAAGGAAGTGGTCGCGGGCAGTGGCTAAGCGGTCCGGAAGGCGCATGGCAATGAGGTACAGGGTAGCACAGAACGGCGGGGGGGAGGCACTTAGCTGGGCCTCAGTGCTAGCGGCACGGTAGCCAACCTCTAGTGCAGGGAGGTGAGTGGCTAGGTCAGCTACAGTGGGGAAAGCGGCGAGATCAGGGAACATCATGGGGAGGATCAGGCGGCCAGCAAAGGCGGAGGCGCGCGTGGAGAGGCGCGCAACTACGGCATCTAAGAAGTCCTTGGCGTTCGCAACAGCAGTAATGCGTGGACGCTCAGAGAGGGGAAGAGCATGACTAATGGCAAGCTGCGTTACGGCATCGCGCGAATCCCAAACAGCGCGAGCAAGTGCAGTAGCATAAAAGGCCTCAGATGAGCAGTGGTGGGGTCAGCAGGGAGGGGATCAGGTGCGGGGGGGCGGGGAAGCAAGCCATCAACATGCACAGCCAGGGAGTGCCCATCCTGGCGCTGACCTGTGAGGTGACGGCGTAGATCGACAAGCCAGGCGGGGAAGTCGATCGCGTGCCCCTTAGCGTCCAGGCGGAGTAAAGATTCCGCCATCGTATGACCTCAGCGACCCGACTCCACGGTGGCACGGCGGCACAGCGACACAGCAACATGGTGGCACGACTCCACGGCGGCACGGCTCCACGGCAGAAAGGACGGCGACCACGACCAAGGCACGCGGGGCGCGCAGACCGATGGGGGCACGTAAGGCCGAGCGGGGCTCACAGGGCCAGCGGCGCGTAGAAGGACCGGCTAGGGCGCAATGGGCCAGCAGGGGCGCAAGGAGGCTGGCGGGGCGCAAGGAGCCAGCAGAGCGCGACAGGCCGGCGGGGCGTGAAAGGGCTGGCGGGGTGCGAAACGGCCAGCGGAGCGCGATGGGCCGGTGGGGCGTGAAAGGGAAGGCGGGGCGCGAAGGGCCTGGTGGGGCTCGAAGAGCCTGTCGGGGCGCGCAAGAGGGCCCGCAGGGCGCGAAGGGCCGGCGGGGCGCGAGGGTCTGGCGGGGCGCATAAGGGACCAGTGGGGCGCGAGGGCCGGGCGGGGCGCGTAAGGGACCAGCGGGGCGCGAGGGGCCGGCGGGGCGCAAAAGGGATGGCGGGGCGCGAAGGGCCGGCAGGGCGCGAGGGCCTGGCGGGGCGCGTAAGGGACCAGCGGGGCGCGAGGGCCTGGCGGGGCGTGTAAGGGACCAGCGGGGCGCGAGGGGCCGGTGGGGCACAAAGGGCCTGGCGAGGGCGCGAAGGGGGGCCAGCGGGGCACTAAGGACAGCGGGGCGCTAAGGCTAGGGCTAGGGCGGAAGCGGGTGGGCGGACCTAACCTAAGCTGATACCATCTCAGAGTAGCGAAATGAACTAGAATAGAGGGTACACGGTAGTTATGACCTAATGTGTTGAGGCCATCAATTTTTGCGGCGACACTTTCACGAAGCTGCGGCCAATCAAATTTCGCCGATCGATCGAATCGCATAGCTGAGCAAGATTGCAGAGGCAGGAGGAGGAAATCTCGGCCTCACAAAGCCAACACACACCCAATGTGTGCCTTGCGAAGGGCCAAAAAGTCCTCACACAAGGCGCAACACACGCTAGCCCTAAACTTGGGCGAAGGGCCAAGTAATCCCCTCACAAATCCCCCAACACACGCTAGCCCTAAATTTGGCGAAGGGCCAAAAAGCCCCTCACAAATCCCCCAGCACACGCTGGCCCTATATTTGGCAAAGGGCCAAGTGCCCTCACACAACCCTCCAGCACACATCGGGCAGGGGAAACATGTGGACATTATGGCAGGGCCCCGAATCACGCTGCTACATGATTCGGGGGTAGCTGCCCGTTAGGCAGAGGCTACAGGGTCTACTACAATTGCAATGCCCTACCAGCAGAGTTTACTCATAAAAAAACCCTAAATTTTCAGGGTTGTGTCTCAAGAAAATCCTAGCGCATCAGGGTCGGTACCAAAAAAACCTCTGAAAAAACCCTTAATCAGGGAAATTTGCCTGAAATCTGAGGGCCTGGTTTAGATATGTTTGTTACAGCCTGGCTAGGTCAGTTCTTAGAGGGGACAACATATTTGTACTTGTATCTCCCCTCCCCTCTTCCTAGTCACACCTTTTTCCGCTATTCTAACACTCACTCCCCTATTGGATGCGCTGCTTCAAAATCTGCTGCCTCTGTTGATTTGCTCGGTGAAGGTCCTTCATGTAAGTTGAAGTACATATTGCTCAAGGACCATTATGCTCATGACTGAACAAATTAGAGCGATAATTGTACATTAACAGCAGCACAGTTGCAAGCAATTATTGGCTTCTTCACCCACCACCACCCTCTCCTTGTGTGACATCTTTTTGAAGAACTCCAAATATATCCGGCTGACCTTGATTCAACCCCTCCTGCATGTACACTCCAAACAGCGCTACAGTGGGGTCATCCAGTATTTCTTGCACAGCTGTAGAATCAGTGCTGGAAGCCGCTACTGATCCTGCTGCGTTGCCTCCGGAGGGCAACGTGGAAAAGTTTAGGCTGCCCGAGCATGTCCATCCACCAGTGCCATCACCCACTGGCTGCCATGGGCAAGGCAGAAAGAACCTTACCACATCACTGCTTTTCATGCCGCTGCTGCTGCTGCTGCTGCTGCTGCTGCTGCTGCTATCAGTGACACCCTGCCCACTGCTGCTCTCATCCTGTGTTGCTGCTTTCACAGTTACAGCTCCAGTGCCTGAAGACATAGCGTCCCTCCCACTTTCCTGGAGGCCTCCACGTCTCGATGCATGGCTGGGCTTGGGGCTGGGCTTCGGGCTGGGCTTGGGCTTGGCCTTAGGAGTGAGCTTCAGCTGTGACTTGAGGGAATCTACTTTGGCCGCTGCGTCCTTTAGCAAGGATGGCTTGCTGCTGCCACTTGCGTTGCTGCCGCCCCCAGCCTCCCTGCCCTTTCCCCCCTTACTCCTGCCGGCTCCTTTCTTGCTCTCCCCTTGCGGGCGCAATGCTGCTGCTCCCGGTGTGAGTGAGGGGGAGGAGGAGGAGGAGGAGGAGGAGGAGGAGGAGGAGGAGGAGGAGGAGGAGGAGGAGGAGGAGGAGGAGGAGGAGGAGGAGGAGGAGGAGGAGGAGGAGGAGGAGGAGGAGGAGGAGGAGGAGGAGGAGGAGGAGGAGGAGGAGGAGGAGGAGGAGGACGATGAACTGTCAGCGTCAACCGTGCCTGGGGGGACGTTCTTGTAGAGAATGACATTATAGAGAGTCAAGTGCTGAGAGTATGCTGTGAGAGTGTAGGAGATGGACTGGAGCTGAGAGGAGGGCGAGCTGATGGGCACACATGGGTGGCATGGGAACACACGGGTGGGATGAGGGCACACGGGTGGGATGGGGGCACACGGGTGGGATGGGGGCACACGGGTGGGATGGGGGCACAAGGGGAGGATGGGGCACGGGGAAGAGAAAGGGGGCGAAACGGAGATGTGTTTGAGGAAGAAAGAGGGGATGGAAGAGGAAGAGGAGGGCAGTGAGTGAGCGCTGAGCGTGTGGCATGGGCGGGAGGGAGATGGACAGAAGCTGAGAGGAGGGAGAGTGATGGGGGCACATTGGGAGGCGGGGATACAGAGAGGAGGGATGATGGCACCTGGAGCACCAAGGGAAGAGGGGATGGGAGTGAGTGCTGAGTGCATGCCGGGGAGAGAGTGGGAGATGGAGAGGACGTGAGAGGAGGATGGAGAGGCGATGGGAGCCATGGTGAGGCATGGGAGTCTGGGAGACATGGGAGACATGGAAGACATGGGAGACATGGGAGACATGGAAGACATGGGAGACATGGGAGACATGGGAGACATGGGAAGCCATGGGAAGCCATGGGAAGCCATGGGGAGACATGGGGAGACATGGGGAGACATGGGGAGACATGGGAAGGCATGGGGAGACATGGGGAGGCATGGGGAGGCATGGGGAGGCATGGGGAGGCATGGGGAGGCATGAGGAGGCATGAGGAAAGGATGGCGAATGGGTTTGGCATAAGAGAACCTCTGTCGCAGGCAGGAGGAGCTCTCCTTGCTTCTTTGCTGCACCGCTGCCGCTGCACAATTGACTGCTCTGAGCCACACCTGACCGCTCTAAAGCGCACGTGGGCGCACAGGAGTGCGCAAAAGCACCTGTCTAGGGTGTCCACAGCGAGAACGAATGTGCCTGTGGTGGCCGGAACCACACTGGTAGGGGCGATCCTCCACCGCAGCGACGAGTAGCGCGCTGCAAGGCATGGGGGCGTGAAGGGGGCAAGTGAGAGAAAAGGGGATTGGTGAGAAGTAACGAAGGGGAGTCGATTGGATGGGTAGATGGAACGGGTAACCACTCTGGTAGGGGCGATCCTCCACCACAACGATGAGTAGCGCGCTGCATGATGTGGAGGAGGCCGAGGGGGACAAGGGCACACAGAGGCAGGCAGCAAGACAGGAGGCAGGCAGCAACACAGGAGGCAGGGAGCAAGACAGGAGGCAGGGAGCAAGACAGGAGGCAGGCAGCAAGACAGGAGGCAGGCAGCAAGACAGGAGGCAGGGAGCTAGACAGGAGGCAGGGAGCAAGACAGGAGGCAGGCAGCAAGACAGGAGGCAGGGAGCAAGACAGGAGGCAGGCAGCAAGACAGGAGGCAGGGAGCAAGACAGGAGGCAGGGAGCTAGACAGGAGGCAGGGAGCAAGACAGGAGGCAGGCAGCAAGACAGGAGGCAGGGAGCAAGACAGGAGGCAGGCAGCAAGACAGGAGGCAGGGAGCAAGACAGGAGGCAGGGAGCTAGACAGGAGGCAGGGAGCAAGACAGGAGGCAGGGAGCAAGACAGGAGGCAGGGAGCAAGACAGGAGGCAGGGAGCTAGACAGGAGGCAGAGAGCAAGACAAGAGGCAGGGAGCAAGACAGGAGGCAGGGAGCTAGACAGGAGGCAGGGAGCAAGACAGGAGGCAGGCAGCAAGACAGGAGGCAGGAAGCAAGACAGGAGGCAGGCAGCAACACAGGAGGCAGGGAGCAAGACAGGAGGCAGGGAGCTAGACAGGAGGCAGGGAGCAAGACAGGAGGCAGGCAGCAAGACAGGAGGCAGGGAGCAAGACAGGAGGCAGGCAGCAAGACAGGAGGCAGGGAGCAAGACAGGAGGCAGGGAGCTAGACAGGAGGCAGGGAGCAAGACAGGAGGCAGGGAGCAAGACAGGAGGCAGGGAGCAAGACAGGAGGCAGGGAGCTAGACAGGAGGCAGAGAGCAAGACAGGAGGCAGGGAGCAAGACAGGAGGCAGGCAGCAAGACAGGAGGCAGGGAGAGATGGTGCAGCCTCCACCGCAGAGACGAGTAGCGCGCTGGCAGGGATGCGAAGGGGGCGAGGGACACAGAGAGGCAGGGGTGCGAATGGGGCGAGGGACACACAGAGGCAGGGATGCGAATGGGGCGAGGCGAGAGAAGGGAGATCTGTAATACGAAAACATCTTTCCAGAATTCTGAAACGTGTCTCACATGGCCGAAAGGGGGTTGATGGGATGGGTGGACGAGGGGAAGGGAGGGGAAGGGAGAAGCACGCTGGAAAGGGTGAGTTTGTCCATGTGAGAGACGAGTGGCGGGGGTGGGTCATGGGGGGTGGGTCATGGGGGACGGGGGAGGGAGGCGAGGCAGGGAGACACACACAGGAGAGACAAGGAAGATGGGGGGAAGGGAGATGGGGGAAAGGGAGATGAGGGGAAGGGAGATGGGGGAAGGGAGATGGGAGGAAGGGACATGGGGGAAAGGGAGATGGGGGGAAGGGAGATGGGGGGAAGGGAGATGGGGGGAAGGGAGATGGGGGGAAGGGAGATGGGGGGAAGGGAGATGGGGGAAAGGGAGATGGGGGAAAGGGAGATGGGGGAATGGGAGATGGGGGAAGGGAGATGGGGGAAGGGAGGTGGGGGGAAGGGAGATGGGGGGAAGGGACATGGGAGGAAGGGACATGGGGGGAAGGGAGATGGGGGGAAGGGAGATGGGGGGAAGGGAGATGGGGGGAAGGGAGATGGGGGATGGGAGATGGGGGGGGGGAAGGGAGATGGGGGGAAGGGAGATGGGGGAAAGGGAGATGGGGGAAAGGGAGATGGGGGAAAGGGAGATGGGGGAAGGGAGATGGGGGGAAGGGAGACGGGGGGAAGGGAGATGGGGGAAGGGAGGTGAGGGGAAGGGAGATCAGGGAAAGGGAGATGGGGGGAAGGGAGATCGGGGAAAGGGAGATGGGGGGAAGGGAGATGGGGGGAAGGGAGATCGGGGGAAGGGAGATGGGGGGAAGGGAGATCGGAGGAAGGGAGATGGGGGAAGGGAGATGGGTTGAAGGGAGATAGGAGGAAGGGAGATGGGGGGAAGGGAGATGGGGGGAAGGGAGATGGGGGAAGGGAGATGGGGGGAAGGGAGATGGGGTGAAGGGAGATGGGGGAAAGGAGGATGGGGGGAAGGGTGATGGGGGAAGGGGGATGGAGGGAAGGGAGATGGGGGGATATGAGGGGAGAAGAGGTCGGGGGAAGGGAGATGGGGGAAGGGAAATGGGGGGAAGGGAGATAGGGGGAAGGGAGATGGGGGAAGGGAGATGGGTGGAAGGGGAATGGGGGAAAGGAGGATGGGGGGAAGGGTGATGGGGGAAGGGGGATGGGGGGAAGGGAGACTGGTGAGGAGCGAGAGAAGGAGAAGCACAGTGAAAGGGGCGTCTCTCCATAGCAGAGACAAAATGTGCGCTAGGACAAAATGTGCGCTATGACCAGGCGAAAAGAAGAGAAGCTGGCGAGAAAGAGGCAAGGCGTGATAGGGGCATGGGAGGAAAGCGGGTAATGGGAGGAAAGCGGGGCATGGGAGGAAAGCAGGGCATGGGAGGGCTGGAGATTGGTGGGATGGGAGGGAGGCAGAACGAGACCAGGACGGTGCTAACAGAGCAGTTTGACAACTGACTGAAACAGTTCCGACAACTGACTGAAACTGACTGAAACAGTTCCGACAACTGACTGAAACAGTTCCGACAACTGACTAGAACAGCAGACATAAGAAGCACAGAAGAACTATAAACAGCATCTACTTGGTACAAGAACACGTGCTAAAATACGTGTAACAAGAGCAGCTGCTTGCAACAAGAGCACCTGCTTGTTACAAGAGCAGCTTCTTGCAAGAAGAGCACCTGCTTGCAACAAGTGCACCTGCTTGTAACGAGAGCACCTGGTTGTAACGAGAGCACCTGGTTGTAACAAGAGCACCTGCTTGTTACAAGGGCATAGAGAACATACTTGTAACAGCAGCGGTGGGACGAAGCAGTGTGATCAGCGGCAGCACCAAGAGAAGCACTGCGAGGAGGATGGGAAGGAAACAACGGAGAGAGGCACGAGGAGGGACGGAATGCTGGCACAGGGCGGATCGATCCAACGGGGAATGCCCCTTTGGGGTGGTGATGGATCGATCCAACGGGGAATGCCCCTTTGGGGCGGTGATGGATCGATCCAACGGGGAATGCCCCTTTGGGGCGGTGATGGATCGATCCAACGGGGAATGCCCCTTTGGGGCGGTGATGGATCGATCCAACGGGGAATGCCCCTTCGGGGTGGTGATGGACGGCAAGCCTGCAGCGAGAAGCACTGAAAGCCGAGATTGTTGACTTGACACGATGGGAAAGGGCAATGGTGAAGAAAAGAGATTTCTGGGATGGCTTCTTGAGGCTCTCTCCTTCCTTCCCTTCCCTCTCGTCCATCACTCCCCCCCGCCGCCCCCAACCCCCCTCATTTCCCCTCTTTTCCCCCATCCCTCTCATTGTCATGTCCCTGCGCAATCACACACCAAGCATGATGTGGCGCAATCAGGCGCAGGGCGTACGGCGTGTCCGAAAGAAGCATGGCGTGATTCGCGCTTGCGGTTTTCAACTGAGCGCACGCACACTAGGGCCGGCTGAAAGCGCACTAGGGCCGGCTGAAAGCGCACTAGGGCCGGCTGAAAGCGCACTAGGGCCGGCTGAAAGCGCACTAGGGCCGGCTGAAAGCGCACTAGGGCCGGCGGCCCTAGGGCCGGCTGAAAGCGCACTAGGGCCGGCTGAAAGCGCACTAGGGCCGGCTGAAAGCGCACTAGGGCCGGCTGAAAGCGCACTAGGGCCGGCTGAAAGCGCACTAGGGCCGGCTGAAAGCGCACTAGGGCCGGCTGAAAGCGCACTAGGGCCGGCTGAAAGCGCACTAGGGCCGGCTGAAAGCGCACTAGGGCCGGCTGAAAGCACACTAGGGCCGGCTGAAAGCACACTAGGGCCGGCTGAAAGCACACTAGGGCCGGCTGAAAGCACACTAGGGCCGGCTGAAAGCACACTAGGGCCGGCTGAAAGCGCACTAGGGCCGGCTGAAAGCGCACTAGGGGGGGGGGGGCCGGCTGAAAGCGCACTAGGGCCGGCTGAAAGCGCACTAGGGCCGGCTGAAAGCGCACTAGGGCCGGCTGAAAGCGCACTAGGGCCGGCTGAAAGCGCACTAGGGCCGGCTGAAAGCGCACTAGGGCCGGCTGAAAGCGCACTAGGGCCGGCTGAAAGCGCACTAGGGCCGGCTGAAAGCGCACTAGGGCCGGCTGAAAGCGCACTAGGGCCGGCTGAAAGCGCACTAGGGCCGGCTGAAAGCGCACTAGGGCCGGCTGAAAGCGCACTAGGGCCGGCTGAAAGCACACTAGGGCCGGCTGAAAGCGCACTAGGGCCGGCTGAAAGCGCACTAGGGCCGGCTGGAAGTGCATGGTGGCGCCGGGACTGACCGATCCCTGACGGCATGAGAGATCACGAGGAGCCGAATCCCAAAACAACTTCCCACTGCGAGAGTATTCAGGGCAATGCGGCGCTGAGGAGCTTACTTCCCACGCCACCCCCTCGCCGACAATGGAGCTTTTGAGTCCACTCTAAAGCATGTAATGGAGGCCCTTTTGCGGCGGCCATGCCGTGAGCTGTCAAGGGAGACTGGCAGCGGCGTGGGAGGGAACCTGGCCGATAATGGGGGGAAGCAGCTTGGGAGGCAGCTCACCGCGAATGGAGGCTCTTGGCGGCGGCCACGTGGTGCGAGGCATGATGATGCGGGGAGCACGCCTGCCAATTCCTGCGCCGCGATGCGCGAGTCGCAGGCGTCGCGGACGTCGCAAGTCGCCGGCGTTGCGGTTTTCTCAAAATACGCCTGAGTCGCAGGCGCCGCGGGGAGAGCGAGCGGCAATGCAGGGTGTGGCAACAGGCATTACGCTGCCGCTTTCCTGGGGGCGTGGAGACTGGCTGTAACTGACGAAGCTGGAAAACTGACGGTTTGACGTCAGCAGAAATGGAAGGACTTAAGAAATAACGCTTAGAAATGAACGGGGTGGAAGAACCGACGGCCTGAAACAGTCGACAAGGAACAAGGAAGCAGCGGGAAGCACGGAGGCTTGATTGCGCTGTGCGTGTGGAGTGCTGGACTTGGTATTCCCACTGAGCGGGAAGTAGTGTGTTGCTCTTGGTCTTGGTCTGCTGGTGACAGTGTAGAAGGGGAATGGGAAAGCACCTGAACCGTGAGGCCCACCAACCAGTGTAAAACGGCAACAACCAGGGATGGTGGCAAGGTGACGAGCGAATTCCGATGGAGGTGCTGTTGATAGACAACTCCTGACGGAATGCGCAGGCCGCGGTCGTGGCTGTAAGAAAAAATGAAACATGGAAAAAACTGAAAATGTTTCGACACACAGCCTGACATTTTCTGGGTTAGATGATGAGAAGTTAGGAAGGAGATATCTAAATAAGCCTTAGGAAGTTCGTTTTAAAGCGCGTGACCCAAGTAAGACCAAATCTTTGATTTTTTATCCGTGTCATAATGTAGGAAGTGTCAGTGTACTATAACGTGAGAATACAAGGTCGCTATTGCAATGAAGGCACAAGGTTATATAGGGGTTGGCGTGCTAGGGCGATAACCTCGGAACGTGGGTAGGTTCGGCAATGTGGCGACAATGCCGGATGCGACTCGGGGAAGGGTTGGGCCGATAATTGACGCCGAATGTAACGAGTCGAGGAGTTCGGGCGTACGCGCTAGCGTACAACTCAGTAAGGAATGGAAATTCCTTACACTACCCCCCCCTCCTAAACGAGACCGCGGGCATCGGAAACATTCCGATGCTGATAATACGCTGTTAGAATCGGGTGTGATTCTAGCTCAGCGAGCGGCACCCAGCTATCATCTTCTGACGTGCGATCGCGCCAGCGGACGAGAAAATCAACCATCCGACGGTTCAGCTGCGTCGTGACTCGATGGCCGAGGATTTTTAAAGGCTCGGTTGTCGGTTCCTGCAGAGGCATCAGCTGCGGTACACCGCGTTGGCGCGCCAAGTCCGACGAACTGGGTACGTAGGGCCGTAAGAGGCTGACGTGGAAGGCCGGGTGGTGGCGCCAATCCGCCGGGAGTCGGAGGTGAGCAGTGACAGGTGTCAATATATTCGTCACTTGAAAAGGCCCACAGTATCTGGGTCGTAGTTTGCTCAGGATTGGCAGCCGCAAATTGCGAGTGTCGAGGAGAACGAGATCTCCCACTTTGTAGGTGACGTCACGTCGATGGCGATCGGCGTGTCGGGTTGCGACCAGGTTGGCTTTCCTGATGGCCTCGGCTGCTTTTTCTCGGGCGGCGAGAATGTCTTCAGCAAATTTCTGGGACCGGTGCACGGGTGTCTCGATGTTCGGGATAGAGGGTACTACTGGGTCCTGCCCGTAGTTAAGGAAGAATGGGGACTGATGGGTTGTGGCAGAGGGCGCATTATTATACGCGAATTCCAGCAGCGGGAGGGATTTCTCCCATGTCTGTGGGTCAGTACAGGTAGTCCGAATGAGTTGCTCCATAGTTTGGTTGACTCGTTCGGTTTGCCCGTCGGTCTGTGGGTGGTAGGTGGAGGAAAACTGTAGTTTGGTGTCGAACTGGTCCCACAGGTGGCGCCAGAAATTCGATGTGAATTTCGGGTCTCGGTCTGAAATGATTGCGGTAGGCAGTCCGTGCAGTCGAATGACGTTGGCGATGAACAGTTGAGCAATTTGCTCGGCTGTAATTGTCTGTTGGCAAGCGATGAAGTGCGCCATTTTCGTGAGTCGGTCGACTACCACGAGGATGGCGTCGTTTTCGCTGGGACCGGCTGTCAGTCCTGTCACGTAGTCCATCGTGATGTGTTGCCAGGGTCGCTCGGGCGGATCCAACGGTTGTAGTAGTCCGGCTGCTCGCTGATGAGAGGATTTCATGATCTGGCAGGCGGTGCAGGAGGACACGTACTTGCACACGTCGCCAGCCATGTTCGGCCAATAATAGTTGCGCTGCAACGTCTTCGTAGTTTTGTCGACTCCGAAATGCCCGAAAGTAGGGTTGTCGTGGGATTGCTGTATTAAAAGGGTACGAAGTAAATCGTAGATAGGCACCCAGATGCAGGAAGTATCGCGCTTATTAAAATAGTGTCCGGTGGCGGTGGTATGCTGTTGACGAATAGCAGAGCGGAAGAAAGGGACGATCTTGTAGCCGTGGTTAAATAGTCCGGTAAGTAGTGGGTTGGTCCGGGCGACTAGTATGGCGGCGGTATGGGCAGTGGGTCGAGTCAGGGCATCGGCAATATTGTTGGCGCCCCGTTTGTAGGTGATGGTGTAGTGGAAGTTCGACTCGAGGAAATCGAGCCATTGGATCTGTCGCGGGTTGAGATTCGGTTGGTCTCGCAGGTACTGTAAGGATTTGTTGTCAGTTCGCACCGTGACGTCAGCACCTATCAGGTAGCACTGCCAGGTCTTGAACGCGTGGACGATGTACTGTATAGTTTTTTTCCGCGCCCTGCAGCTTCCGTGATTCGTAGGCGACTGGCTGTAACCCGTCGCCGAAATCCTGTACGAGAACTGCACCGATGGCGATGTCGCTGGCGTCGGTGATGACTTCGTATGGACGGTTGGGATTGGAGATGCGAAGAACGGGCGGCGACGTGAGGGCGATGTTCAGTTGGTCAAATGCAGCTTGTTGCTTCTCTCCCCACCAAAAACAATCGTGATCTTTGAGTCGGTCGGTTAGCGGGGCAGATAACCCAACCATATTGGGGATAAAGCGGCGGGCGTAGTTGACGAAACCCTAAAAACTCTGCAGCTCCTTGATGTTGGTTGGCGGCTTCCTCTCCTGTACGGTCTTGATTTTCTTGGGGTCGATTTTCACTCCTTCGGTACAAACGACGTGACCAAAAACTCCAACTCCTGCTTAAGAAAGTCGCACTTAGACCCTTTTGTGATGAGGCGATTCTTGTGCAGCAGCATGAAGACTGCCTCAAGATCCTGTAAGTGCTGCTCCCTGCTTCGGCTGTAGATTAGTATGTCGTCGAGGTAGATAATAACGCATTTATCCAAGAGTTCCCTGAAAATGCCGTTCATGGTCATTTGAAATGTCGAGGGCGCGTTCGTGAGGCCAAAGGGCATCACCAGGTATTCGTAGCTTCCGTAGCGGGTTCGAAAGGCGGTTTTGTGACAATCTTCGGCGACGACGCGAATTTGATGGTACAGTGGCGGAATAAATTGTCCACATGTTCAGCCTTTTTTGGCATTTTGATGAGTGCAGCGGCGTAAACATTAAGCCTTAATGTATGGTGTGCATACACGTTGAGAAGTTCAGTTACAGCACTCACTCGAGTTGACAAACACCAAAGTAGTACCACACATGGTCCTTAAACACCTAAGCATAGCATAGGATAACATCCGGACAATTTGTACCGGAAAAAGGCATCATACTAGATTCTAGGAAAACTAGTACCTAGTCCAGCGTCCCTTTGCCCGAATCACTGCCTTGATCCTCCTCGGCAGGCTGTCGATCAGGTTTGCACACACCTCCGCCGGTATCTTGTCCCATTCCTCCTGCACCCTCTCCCACAGCTCCAGCATTCCACTTGGCGGCTTTTCGTACTTCCCCAGCTGCCTTTTCAAGTATGCCCACAGGTGCTCAATCGGGTTAAGGTCCGGGGAGCACGACGGCCATTCCAGCACCGCGTACTCCTGCTCCCCAAGCCAATCTTGGACCAGACGAGACCTGTGCTTGGGATCGTTGTCGTGCTGGAAAATGACCTCTGAGGGGGAAAGCTTGAAAAAATCGATGGTCTGTTTGAGCTCATCTTGCAAGATGCTGCAATACAGCGGCCCATCCATCCTGCCATCTATCTTGCACATGAACCCCGCCCCCTCATACGTCATGCAACCCCACACCATCACAGAACCGCCCCCATGCTTAACTGTCTGTTGCACTTGATGGCTCCGAAGGCTGGTGCCCTCGCGAATCCAGGCGTACGCACGTCCGTCGGAGCAGTAGCGGTTTATCTTTGTCTCGTCAGACCAAATCACCCGCTTCCAGTCCTCCAGCGTCCAGTCGGCATGCGACCGCGCGAAGTCGAGACGATCTCGGATGTTTTTCGGTGAGACCCTCACTTCTCCCTCTCATTCCCCTCATTTCCCCCTCTTATTCCCCTCTGTTCCCCCTCTCATTCCCCTCAGTTTCCCCTCTCATTCCCCTGAGTTCCCCCTCTCGTTCCCCTCACTTCCCCCTCTCATTCCCCTCAGTTCCCCCTCTCATTCCCCACACTTCCCCCTCTCATTCCCCTCACTTCCCCCTCTCATTCCCCTGAGTCCCCCCTCTCATTCCCCACACTTCCACCTCTCATTCCCCTCACTTCCCCCTCTCATTCCCCTCACTTCCCCCTCTCATTCCCCTCACTTCCCCCTCTCATTCTCCTCAGTTCCCCCACTCATTCCCCTCAGTTCCCCCTCTCATTCCCCCCAGTTCCCTTTCTCATTCCCCTCACTTTCCCCTCTCATTCCCTTCAGTTCCCCCTCTCATTCCCCTCAGTTCCCCCTCTCATTCTCCTCACTTCTCCCTCTCATTCCCCTCAGTTCCCCCTCTCATTCTCCTCAGTTGCCCCTCTCATTCTCCTCAGTTCCCCCTCTCATTCCCCTCAGTTCCCCCTCTCATTCCCCTCAGTTCCCCCTCTCATTCCCCTCAGGTCCCCCTCTCATCCCCACACTTCCCCCTCTCATTCCCCTCACTCCCCCCTCTCATTCCCCTCAGTTCCCCTCTCATTCTCCACAGTTTCCCCTCTCATTCCCCTCAGTTCCCCCTCTCATTCCCTTCAGTTCCCCCTCTCATTCTCCTCAGTTCCCCCTCTCTTTCCCCTCAGTTCCCCCTCTCATTCCCCTCAATTCCCCCTCTCATTCCCCTCAGGTCCCCCTCTCATCCCCACACTTCCCCCTCTCATTCCCCTCACTCCCCCCTCTCATTCCCCTCAGTTCCCCTCTCATTCTCCACAGTTTCCCCTCTGATTCCCCTCAGTTCCCCCTCTCATTCCCCTCAGTTCCCCCTCTCATTCCCCTCACTTCCCCCTCTATTTCCCCTCAGTTCCCCCTCTCATTCCCCTTACTTCCCCCTCTCATTCCCCTCAGTTCCCCCTCTCATTCGCCTCACTTCTCCCTCTCATTCCCCTCAGTTCCCCGTCTAATTCCCCTCAGTTCCCCCTCTCATTCCCCTCAGTTCCCCCTCTCATTCCCCTCAGTTCCCCCTCTCATTCCCCTCAGGTCCCCCTCTCATTCCCCTCAGTTCCGCCTCTCATTCCCCTCAGTTCCCCCTCTCATTCCCCTCACTTCCACCTCTCATTCTTCTCACTTCCCCCTCTCATTCCCCTCACTTCCCCCTCTCATTCCCCTCACTTCCCCCTCTCATTCCCCTCACTTCTCCCTCTCATTCCCCTCAGTTCCACCTCTCATTCCCCCCAGTTCCCTTTCTCATTCCCCTCACTTCACCCTCTCATTCACCTCAGTTCCCACTCTCATTCTCCTCAGTTCCCCCTCTCATTCCCCTCACTTCCCCCTCTCATTCTCCTCAGTTGCCCCTCTCATTCCCCTCACTTCCCCTCTCATTCCCCTCAGTTCCCCCTCATTCCCCTCAGTTCCCCCTCTCATTCCCCTCACTTTCCCCTCTCATTCCCCTCAGTTCCCCCTCTCATTCCCCTCAGTTCCGCCTCTCATTCCCCTCAGTTTCCCCTCTCATTCCTCTCAGTTCCCCCTCTCATTCCCCTCAGTTCCCCCTCTCTTTCCCCTCACTTCCCCCTCTCATTCTCCTCAGTTCCCCCTCTCATTCCCCTCACTTCCCCCTCTCATTCCCCTCAGTTCCCCCTCTCATTCCCCTCAGTTCCCCCTCTCATTCCCCCCAGTTCCCTTTCTCATTCCCCTCACTTTCCCCTCTCATTCCCCTCAGTTCCCCTCTCATTCCCCTCAGTTCCGCCTCTCATTCCCCTCAGTTCCCCCTCTCATTCCCCTCAGTTCCCCCTCTCATTCCCCTCAGTTCCCCCTCTTTTTCCCCTCACTTCCCCCTCTCATTCTCCTCAGTTCCCCCTCTCATTCCCCTCACTTCCCCCTCTCATTCCCCTCAGTTCCCCCTCTCATTCCCCCCAGTTCCTTTTCTCATTCCCCTCACTTTCCCCTCTCATTCCCCTCAGTTCCCCCTCTCATTCCTCTCAGTTCCCCCTCTCATTCCCCTCAGTTCCCCCTCTCTTTCCCCTCACTTCGCCCTGACATTCTCCTCAGTTCCCCCTCTCATTCTCCTCGGTTCCCCCTCTCATTCCCCTCACTTCCCCCTCTCATTCCCCTCACTTCCCCCTCTCATTCCCCTCAGTTCCCCCTCTCATTCCCCTCAGTTCCCCCTCTCATTCCCCCCAGTCCCCTTTCTCATTCCCCTCACTTCTCCCTCTCATTCCCCTCAGTTCCACCTCTCATTCCCCCCAGTTCCCTTTCTCATTCCCCTCACTTCACCCTCTCATTCACCTCAGTTCCCACTCTCATTCTCCTCAGTTCCCCCTCTCATTCCCCTCACTTCCCCTCTCATTCTCCTCAGTTGCCCTCTCATTCCCCTCACTTCCCCTCTCATTCCCCTCAGTTCCCCCTCATTCCCCTCAGTCCCCCTCTCATTCCCTCAGTTCCCCTCTCATTCTCCTCAGTTGCCCCTCTCATTCCCCTCACTTCCCCTCTCATTCCCCTCAGTTCCCCCTCATTCCCCTCAGTTCCCCCTCTCATTCCCCTCACTTTCCCCTCTCATTCCCCTCAGTTCCCCCTCTCATTCCCCTCAGTTCCGCCTCTCATTCCCCTCAGTTTCCCCTCTCATTCCTCTCAGTTCCCCCTCTCATTCCCCTCAGTTCCCCCTCTCTTTCCCCTCACTTCCCCCTCTCATTCTCCTCAGTTCCCCCTCTCATTCCCCTCACTTCCCCCTCTCATTCCCCTCAGTTCCCCCTCTCATTCCCCTCAGTTCCCCCTCTCATTCCCCCCAGTTCCCTTTCTCATTCCCCTCACTTTCCCCTCTCATTCCCCTCAGTTCCCCCTCTCATTCCCCTCAGTTCCGCCTCTCATTCCCCTCAGTTCCCCCTCTCATTCCCCTCAGTTCCCCCTCTCATTCCCCTCAGTTCCCCCTCTTTTTCCCCTCACTTCCCCCTCTCATTCTCCTCAGTTCCCCCTCTCATTCCCCTCACTTCCCCCTCTCATTCCCCTCAGTTCCCCCTCTCATTCCCCCCAGTTCCTTTTCTCATTCCCCTCACTTTCCCCTCTCATTCCCCTCAGTTCCCCCTCTCATTCCTCTCAGTTCCCCCTCTCATTCCCCTCAGTTCCCCCTCTCTTTCCCCTCACTTCGCCCTGACATTCTCCTCAGTTCCCCCTCTCATTCTCCTCGGTTCCCCCTCTCATTCCCCTCACTTCCCCCTCTCATTCCCCTCACTTCCCCCTCTCATTCCCCTCAGTTCCCCCTCTCATTCCCCTCAGTTCCCCCTCTCATTCCCCTCAGTTCCCCCTCTCTTTCCCCTCACTTCCCCCTCTCATTCTCCTCAGTTCCCCCTCTCATTCCCCTCACTTCCCCCTCTCATTCCCCTCAGTTCCCCCTCTCATTCCCCCAGTTCCTTTTCTCATTCCCCTCACTTCCCCTCTCATTCCCCTCAGTTCCCCCTCTCATTCCTCTCAGTTCCCCCTCTCATTCCCTCAGTTCCCCCTCTCTTTCCCTCACTTCGCCCTGACATTATCCTCAGTTCCCCCTCTCATTCCCTCGTTCCCCCTCTCATTCCCCTCACTTCCCCCTCTCATTCCCCTCAGTTCCCCCTCTCATTCCCCTCAGTTCCCCCTCTCATTCCCCCAGTCCCCTTTCTCATTCCCCTCACTTCTCCCTCTCATTCCCTCAGTTCCACCTCTCATTCCCCCCAGTTCCTTTCTCATTCCCCTCACTCCACCCTCTCATTCACCTCAGTTCCCACTCTCATTCTCCTCAGTTCCCCCTCTCATTCCCCTCACTTCCCCCTCTCATTCTCCTCAGTTGCCCCTCTCATTCCCCTCACTTCCCCTCTCATGCCCTCAGTTCCCCCTCATTCCCCTCAGTTCCCCCTCTCATTCCCCTCACTTCCCCTCTCATTCCCCTCAGTTCCCCCTCTCATTCCCCTCAGTTCCGCCTCTCATTCCCCTCAGTTTCCCCTCTCATTCCCTCAGTTCCCCCTCTCATTCCCCTCAGTTCCCCCTCTCTTTC